ATCACTGGTATGGTCCTTTTTAAATTAAGGCAGATTTATTATCGTTGTTATTCATTATGTTATAATTATTATATTACTTTCAGTTGTAATTTGGAAGACCAGACTTTTTATAACTGCATTGACTAATTGATTTAGATTTAACAACTGACAATGTGAGACAATTGCCTTGAGTTTAGATTGTTGAAATAAATTGCATGTTTTTTTACTTCTACAGGCAGGGGTGTGTTCAGACTTTTTTGACTGGGGTGGCACAAGTGGGAAACTGACTTATACAGGGGTGGCATCAAGTCTGTATCTCAGTCATTCCCAATTCATGCAATTCCAGTACTGTTTATGAGCCCCAGTATGCAGAAATATTCAAATAAACTAGGTGAAAATAACACATTTATACCACATGCAGTGGGATTAGCATAAAGTCTGTTTGTCTGTACACTTATATACAATATCTTGAGGTCAGAGGTCAAGGGATCCATTTAAAAATAGCCATGCCATTTTCCATTGCCAAAATTTAGCCTAAATTTAGAGCGAATGCGTTAGGTCGTCTAGTTTCATGTGATACCAGTATCTTCAGTCTAGCTTTAAAACGGAGCCTGCTACAGACTCTCAAAGATGCAGGGCAACTGGGGTGGCCAATCAAATTTCCTGTGCTCGACCCTCTAGACACGTCCCTGTTTTGTAAATCACCGGTCCTTTGAGAAAAACATTTGAAACCAAAGGGAAGAGATTTGTATTATTATAATATTTTATATTATGTTTTTGGTGTCATCATAGAACATGGCAACATTGCTGAAACCAAGCCTGAAGTTACAAACTTGTGTTTTCTGATTTGTACCGTATACAGATCACTGCATTGATTACTCACATTTATACTACATCTATGATTGTGATGAAAGCAGTGGTCCCACTGTGAGTCTGAGGTCCAGCTCGAGTCTTATCACTGCGTATGAAACATCTATGTGTTTTATCAAAGGCAAAGAGGATGTCGGACTTTAAGTACAGATAACACAATCGCAGCGGTTGGCATTCGTGAAGGGCAGCGCCTAATGCTTTGTGCCAAGGTGAGACCAGAAACACCAACACAGCAGGCAAACAGACACCCTTCACACTGATAACGTGTCTCCTAGCAGATAGTGAGGCTCAGGTCCCGCACTCTTATATAATCATGTACAAAATCCATCCCTCACTTCCGCCCCCCCACCCCGTCAGTGGTGTTGTTGTGCCCAGGGGGATCCGCAGCCTTGACTGCCTCTGATCTGATTAGAGGCTTGTTAGGAGGGGGGGCAGGAAGGGTTAGGACAGCCTGTCAAAAGCTACTCTGTCAGCCTTGAGAAGATAAAGTGATACCTCCTGGACCTCCGGCCTGCTCCTCACTCATGATGCAATCAGCAGCCCCACTGACAGCCATCACTCACTGACAGCAGAACCTGTGTGTGTGTGTGTGTGTGTGTGTGTAGAGAGGGAGGTTGACTGGGTGTTTAGGCTTATGTATAATTTTAGCAATGCACATGGCTGATGTGGTATTATATTAAGGGGCGGTCCAACGTTTCTGCTGTCAAAGTCAGACACTAAGGATGATGTCATTTTCATGACTGTGGAGGGGCAGAAATACAGACAGTCCAGCTGTCTGTCCGTGGATCTGTCACATGGGGGCAGCTATTTTTCATAGTTGTGATCCATAGGTAAAGAGAAATATCCGTAGTACTTTACTGTTTGTGTTTGGTTAGAAATCTGTTTGCTCCTCCAGCCCTGCAGAAAAACATTTAATATCAAATGTCTATAATATTCTTAGAATATTTCAATAATTTTAAGTTTGTTTTCTGTAATGTACTACATTTAGACCCTGAAACAGGGTGTGTGTGTGTGTTATGTTGGTGTGTGTGTGTGTGTGTGTGTGTGTGTGTACATCTGCAGGCTTCACGATTGTGTGCACATCTCAAGCTTAAATATAGATATCTTGCACCCGGTCTCCGACAATGATTTTAGCCTAGCATAGCAAAATGAGTGAAAACAAGGATTACAGCCAGACCTGGCAAATCTATCACCTATCAATTTAAAAGCTCTATTGCTAAAATAAATCTCAATATGCAAACTAAAGCACAGTGACAGCATGATGAGGGTCTGCTGAGCCTGAAGAAGATTGCTGTGCCAAAATCTAGTTTTAACACCTTGGGTTATTTCAGTTTTGCATTTGAATGATTCATATTCTAACAACAATGCAAGTTTATTAAAAAACGACTGCAGAATATCAGATATTATTCTTGCTCAGTAAACTGCACAGAGTAAGGGCAAAACAGGGGGCTAAAGAACCTTAACCCTAACCCCTATCCCTGTTTGCTAAATATATAGCTGAGGCTGGCTGTAGTTTTATATTTAGTTGCTTAGCTTAGCTTAGCATA